AAATTCTCTAAGGGGGAGAGATTGAGAGAGTCCGTCCAGGTGACCACTCGAGCGTAAGAAGTGGCGCTCGAGCGTAGAATTGTTGCTCCCAGTATCTCGTGTGTTTGCAGGCGGGCCGCTTAAGCGTTGGAAGTGTCGCTCAACCGTAGAAAGTGAGATTGCCCTTGACTTTTTTTTTAGGGTATTTGGAGTCTCCGTGTTCCATTTTGGATGATGATCGAAGTGGTAACATAATGGTAAAGTAAGAGCAAACCAAGAATTTTGATTCAGATAATTTTCTTGTGAATATCCATCACTCTTTTGCCCTTTTCTTTTTCCACACTTTGAATTTGGGTGTGTGGCTAGAACCATTAGAAAGCTTGTTTCCGGGGCTTCAATTTGGACACAAGAACGACCTAAAACGGAGTTCGGATAAGAAAGTTACACCTATTTCCATTTTTGGTAGAGAGACGCTCGAGCAGACTGCGCGAATTTAACAAGCTTAAAAGCAGTTTTCTAGATCATTCTTCACACCTTCATCTTCTCTCTTCTTCCTTCTCACCCTTAGTCCGAAAACCCTAGAGATTTTGGCCCAAATACCTCCAATTTTTCAAAGATCTAGGCAAGACCCCTTAAAAAAAGTGAAGAATGCATGAAGATCTCACTTTTCAACCGATTGAAGTTTGGATTTGTGAAGGAATCTCATCAAAGCTTTGCTCTTTTGCTTGATTCTTGAGGTAGGTGTCCTAATCTTCTTCAATACTTGCATTAATAGATAGATTTGTGGTATTTTGATTATATAAATACAAAATCTACATTTTTTAGCATGTAGTGTTACAATTTCATGAGATTTAGGGCTTAGGGTTTGAAGTGTTGGGGTTCAATTATTGGGTTAAGATTGTGGATTATGAACCTTAGGAATATAATCAATGGGAAAGTTGGAATAAAAAGTAGTGATGTGAGAAGTTTTAATTTTTCTTGAAAGTCTTGACTTTTCTTGAAAACCCTAAGTTGACTCATAATGATAATTAATGATTTTCCCTAAATTGAAAGTAGAATCATGAAATTGAGAGGTTGAATTTTATATATATGCAAGTTTAATTGAATTTTGGAAGTGTTTGGAAATTATGTAAAAGTTGCGATTGAACTCGTATTGTTGATATTTTAAATCATGTGATAATATTAAACAAAATTTGGGGGAAGAAATTGTTAATGATATGGATGACATGGAAATTGTGATAAGATGAGGAAGTGAAGATTTAAGAACTTTATTGTGTAGTTAGAAAGTGATTTTGTACCTCAAAACTAAAAGCCCAAATTTATGCTTAACTCTAGTTATGAAATTTAGTTTTTGAAAATGAAGAATACTTCAATTAACATTAAATTTATGAAATTAAGTCTATGTTGGGTTAAGATGAGTGTGAACAATAATAAATGGAAGATTGTGAAATATGACAGTGTTATATGAAGAAATTAAGAAGAATCCAAATTAGAGCAATTCTAATTAAAATTATTTAGTTTTGAACTTAATTCCATACATGCAAAGTTTCATAACTCCAATTTCATGATTTAAAGGAAAATAGAAAAGAGTTAAGAGTCAATTTTATGTAATTTAAAAGGAATTAGTGAAAAGATGAAGGAATTGAATTAAATTCAATTGTAGAAATTAAATTAGAATTGACCATTTTGTAGGTTTGATTTTTGTTGTCTTTGAAGGATTGATTTCACATAATGGAGAGAAAAAGGAAAGTTTTGTAAGCTCAAGTTTATGGAAATTTGGAGCTTAATCTTGAATTAAAAAAGTTTGGATGTAAATGGTTAGAAATTAATCATGTTTTCTTGATAGTTAAAAGAGATTATATGGTTTTAAGAAAGTTGTACGCGACCCCAAGTATTGAATTGGAATGTGGAAGCTCAACTTTTTAACTTTGAAAGCCCAAAATTAGTCATCATCGCTCGAGCGAAGAAGTTGGCGCTCGAGCGTGGAATTCAAGCAACCAGTATTTTTGTAGACTAAAGGGTTCGCTCGAGCGACCAATGTTGCGCTCGAGCGAAGAACCCTGTTTTAGAAAATTTTAAAAAGGTGTTTCATGTTTCGGTTTTCATTCTCTTTTATTTCCAAGCACTCTTAGGCATACATTAAGCATTATAAATGAATTAAAAGAGCAAGAAAGAAGCCTAAGAGAATTAAACAAGTTAATAACGGAATGAATTATATTGTGACCCGATTTCTATGTGTATTGTGAATTGTGTAGGGTCAACTACAAGGGTGAACCAGATATCTGAACACTGTGAGTAATATCTTAATAAAGATATTTTCAAATATATTATATTTTTCCTGACTGTTTTTTTGTGGTAAGATTTTCTGTACACTTGATATAATAAATGTGAATGGGTTACTGATCACAAACATGCAGGATGGACCTAAGGTCATTCTGTATGAATGATTTGGGCCTAAGGCCGTTCCAAATATATAATAAGTTGGGCCTGAGGTCGTTGTGGATATTTGTTAAGAGAACCCAAAATGGTTCTAAATTTCTGAGTGGACCTAAGGTTGTTCTAGAATTCTGAGAAGACAAATTGATTGGCCATTATACAGTACTGTAATGTGATTAGCTCGAGGCCATTCAGAAATAAGTTGGACCTAAGGTCGTTCCGAGTCTCTGATAAGTTTGATAAGCAATATGCAATTGCATTGATTAAATGGCCATCATGGGCCTAAGGCCGTTCTGACATATGTTGGGCTTAAAGCCGTTCTGTCATATAGTGGACCTAAGGCCGTTAGTTACATATATTGGACCCGAGGTTGTTCCGAGCTATTGGGCCTAAGGTCGTTTTGCTAAATATTAGCTATTGTATGAATGTGTTATCTCAGTTATAAAAAAGGACTCATTCACCCAACCCCTTTATTTTGATATTATTCACTGGGCGTTAGCTCACTCTTTATTTATATATATGTAGGTGTAGATGAGTAATTGGAGGATCAACTTTTGAGTTTGCCCAGAAGTCCACCTCTTTGTCAAGCCACCCAAGAGTGCCTTGTGTAGAGGCTTTGTTTTGTTTTGTCAAGCTTAGGTTAATCCTTGTATTTTATTAAAAGTCCTTCATGAACTGTGTAAGATATGTTATAAGATATGCCTTCGTACATGTATATATTAAAGTGTGTTAAAAATGTTTTAATTACTATAGTTAATCATGTACGCACAACTCAATGGACATTATTATATTTGTTTTGCTTCCACTTCAGGCCCCAATTATATTTAAATATTTTGAATTTTGTTTCTGAGGCCGTAGGTAATCTTCGGATTACTGGCCGGTTACGACACTAAACCTATAGGAGGGGGTTTGGGTTGTGACAGCACACACCGGGGCTCAGTTCATCATTCAAACTGCATTGCAATTTAATACTTCTTTGAATACGTGTTTCAAAGCATGCTATCAAATTGTTGCAAATCATTTCATTAGTAGCCGAGCCTACTTAGTTGCATTTTGCATGTGTTGCATTAGGCATTTTTGTATCAATTAGGAATCATGTATATTTTTCCCAACTCTTTTTACTCTTAGCTTGGAGTACTATGTAAGTTTTTCTTGCTTTAGCAAACTTGCATGAGTGTGAGTGTTGCCATGTTTGCATGCTTGCCATGAGGCTAACTGCTTATTTGATATACCTGTTTGAATGCTTGTGGATGAAGGCTTGTTGCTTGAATTGGGACAATTCAACAAATGTGAGTTTTTTAAAGCCCACTTGCGAAGTGGCAAATCATGTTTTAAGCCCACCGAGGTGGCAAATCCATTTTTTTAAGCCCACTTGAGAGTGGAAAATTCAAACTATTTTCAAACAAAAACAACCGTGAGTTTAATTCGTTCCAATTCTTGTGATTTAGTCTATACTTGCTCGCACGCGTCTCACGTAGTAAAGTTAGATTCATAACCGGATAAGAACACACAATGTTTATAAAACAACATATCATGCTTAGTAGAGGCCAATCATTTGATCGGGCGAGCGGGGTGCTCAATCCATGACCTTCCCCACTCGTACTTAAGTTCCTGAGCCGAGGCAACTTTGGTGATAACGGACATGTGGCCTTTGGCACGAGTCTTGGATTCCCTAAATTTTCAGAAATAAAATATTTAGGTGGCGACTCTGTAATCTAGCAAAGCAATCTAATTTTGACATTATTTGATTTAAAAACTGTTTTTCCAAAATGATTTGCCGAATTGGACTATTTGGTGTTTATCAGTTTCATATTGCACTTTGTGAGATTAGATTCAGAACCGTGACAGGAGTCCGAACTATAGGGCTTATTTCGACTTCCAAAAGGAAGGCATTGAAAAAGTCGAGCTACAGTATGCTCATTCATGATTTGTTTCAGTTAGAAATGTGACCAGATGTGTTATGGCAGAAGGGTTGGGAATAAGGTTGCTCATTTGATGGCTAAGTTTGGCATTAATAAAAGGGTGTGCTGTACTTGGGAGGGTGTCCCTCCTTCGTGGTTGTTGGGCTCTCTGAGGATTGAGGGTGGTGTTGTGTTTCGACTATCTATAATATCTTCGATGTCATTCTAACCAAAATATATATATTTTTTATTTATTGTTCGATTTTTTTTTTCAATTTGTAAATGATAATAAAACAAAAAGAATGATGTTTATGATAACGGTGACTTTTGTGTGGCGGATTAGAGTTCTAGAGTTAGGAGGAATAAGAAGAGAAAATCATTAAAATTTGAGAAAAAAGATGAAGATAGTTGACTATGAAAATTACCTACAAGTGATTTGGGTGTACAATAAGAAAAAAATGTTTTATTTTAGAATTTAATGTGTATTTTCCTTCTTAGTAAAATTTACATTAAGGTATAATAGAAACTCAAATTTCCAAATTTTCGTTGAGTAAACTAAATTATTATTTGGGTGCAAATAGAATCACCCCTATTATGCTTATGCAGCCCACAAAATATATATATTAATTAAAAAAAGAAGTGAAATAAGGATGCAACAAAAGAATGAAACATATTATGGCATAGTCTCACAATTCATAACACAACTAGTTGAGGACATGTTCCTCACAGATATCCACAGCTCTCCTTCCTGCCAGCCACTACTACTTGCTGATTTTCAGCTTCAATAAGGGCCATAAGGTTACCATGCATAACATGCATGACTTATGGATCCAAGATTTCAACTTGCGATTGCATTTCATGTAAATTATATAGGTCCTAAACCACAGATTTAAAGTGTATCAAAGACCCACATGCTTGTTTCTCTTTTTTAATCTTGACATATATTATCTCACTTTATAAAATTGCCAAAGCACAATTAGAAGGCATTCAAATTCTTTTTCTTGAAATTCTTACACCATGTTAGGTGCATGTGTATTTTATTTCTCACTGCATTATTCATGACAAAATCTAACACAGTAGAATGATGGCAGCGGATATAAGGAAAGGCTTACATAAGGAATTTTTTTCTCTTTCCCCTTCAAAAGCAGGACCTTTTTCTTCCCAGTATCAGTGCTTCCAGAAATTCCTGAAACAGAAACATCAAAGGTATACAAAATTACTGAAGGATAAATTGATGTAAGTTACTTATCAGTGAAACAAAAACAAAAATTGAAGAAACCAATGATACTCATTCTAGTGTAGTCATCACACAAATTTACAATGAACAGAAAATTATGCATTTTTAACAGGGGAACCGACTATTAATTTGCCTACTCAAAATATGTATATATATAGACGAGTATATCAAGTGATGAAAAGAGCATACCTGTTGGATGAACAGCGTGCAAAGCTCCTTAAAATTTTGAGATTTGTGCGATCTACCACAGAGTTCTAAAGTTGATATATACTAATTCTACAGAGCTATAGAACCTGAAACAAAATTCAAAATCAAAACAAACCCAAAAAAACTGATTAGTACTTGCAAAACAAACTCAAAATCAATTGTCGAAAAAATAAACAAATAAAAATTGAAATCGAAAAGGAAAGAAAAAAAAGAAATTAACCCATTTTGTAAGGGGGAAAATCGAAACATCGATAAAACATACAAACTGTGACAATCTTTTCGAAAATGAAAAACCAATAAAATAAAGTGGATAAAGATAATCGAATGCATCGAATTGAAAGGGAATAAATCGAAAGCTACCACGATGATAAAGGTTGATGTGTGTATATAGTATGTATGTATTGATTTTTAAGATCAAAAGTGAAAATCAAAAGGACCAATCAGATCTTTAAGATCCCCACAAGAAACCTCTGAATATTTTGAGAGAGAGAGAGAAAGCATACGCGAGACGGAGCATCAATGGAGCAGAGTTCATCTCAGCGATGAAGCCTCTGGATCTCGCGGCGGTGGATCTGTGAAGATTGGCGGAGGAGGAGGAGGCGGTGGCGTGAGGAGGAGGTGCTTCAGTTTCCGTCGAAGGCGAAGAAGAGCGGCAGTGAGAGAGGGAGGGGAGAGGAGTAGCGGAGATGGGGAGGGAGAGGGAGAGGGACGCCGAATGGAGAGAGAGAGAGAGAGAGAGAGAGAGAGAGAGAGAGAGAGAGAGAGAGAGAGAGGCGCAGATTATTTTAGGGTTTGGTTTGGTACAAAATATATATATATCATTTTATACAATTGACGACTAAAGTACCTAATGGTCGCCAATTACTTATATGTGACACCATTAGCGACTAAAAACTTTAGTCGCCAATTACTTTTATAAATCCCTCAAATTTAAATTAGAAATGTCTCCCTCCAATTTTTTTATTTTTTGGCGACTAAACCAATTTTTGGTCGCTGAAAATATGTTTTGGCGACTAAACTTTTGGTCGCCAAAAGATAAAAAATAAATTTTTAATTTTACATTTGGCGACTAAATATTTTAGTAGCCAAAGCTCAATATACGCCGACCAAAATTTTTTTTTGTCGCCAATTCTAGTATTTTCAGCGACTAAATTAATTTTTTGTCGCCAATAATCAATATATCCCGACTAAAAAAATTTGGTAGCTAAATTTCATACTTTTGGCGACCAAAAAAAAGTTTTAGTCGCCAATTCCAAAACTTTTGGCGACTAAATTTGTTTTAGTCGCCAATTTTAGTCGCCAAAGGTGTATTTTGTTGTAGTGCAAACCCAAATGATTTATCAAGTTGGATAGTCTATACTCCATGTCATGAGCAATTATGCTATATTTTATGAATTTCATGTTATCGGTGTGTCCAATTAATAACGAAGGATCTCACAATTACATGACTTAAAACATAAATAAAATAATGGCAAAAATGGCAATACATTATTGGATCAGCACACATTGACATAGGCTTCGTTCGATTTACCTCTCTGTTAGAATTTTTTATTTAACAGAATTAATTGAAAAAGTAAAATTTCTAACTGTTCATCTATACAATAATAAAATTATATGAATTATTAATTGAAATAAAATTTTAATATTATTAAAAAATGTTAATTAACTTGATGATTTATTAATAAATGACATATTTATTATGAAATTATAAACTTCAGGAGTGCGTAATTTACCCTATTTTAAAAGTTGAAAATTTGTTTGGTTATGAGTTTTGAAAATATTTTTTTTGTGATTTGTAGTTTTTTTTTTAAATTTTTTTTTAGTTGAATAGATGGTATGTGAGAGAAAATTTAATTGATTGATGTATAGAATGTGAGAGAACGAAAGATAAGAGAAAAAAGAAAAAAAAAATTGATTTATGAATAATAATAAAAAGGAGAGAAAAAAGAGAAAATTAAGTTTTGAATTGTATTTTAAAAACTAATTAACTACGTAAGGAATGTTTAGTATAACCTATATAAGTGTATTTATTTAGATAAATATACTTATTTGAGTTATATTACCTCTTTACTCTTTTATATATTTTTCATAAAAAATAAAAAATACATTTATTTAAATCATTCTAAACACGCTCTAAACTTTTTAATTTTTTTGATTCAAATCATATTTTAAAAATTAAAACCAAGCACTATTTCTGCCCCCGTCAGGGGTTCGGTCAACGCAAATGTTAACATCATACTGACGTGTCCGATCCCCTGACCCAAGACATCCCACCATTGTAAAGTACCAACAATTAAGCCTCGTTCGGGAAGAGGCTATTTTAGTCTAAAAGTCAAAAAGTTACTATTTTAATCAAAAAGCTAACAACCTATACCAAAAAGTCAAAGATTCTCTTTTCTTTCTACTTTTTGCACATCTTTTGATAAAAAGTCAAAAAGTTATCCCAAAGATACTAGTTTTTTTTACCTCATTTTTTAGCCAAAAAACCAAAAAAGTACTAAAATAGCCTATTCCCAAACGAGGCCATAGATTGTATTGTAGCTCAATGGACATTATTATATTTGTTTTGCTTCCACTTCAAGCCCCAATTATATTTAAATATTTTGAATTTTGTTTCTGAGGCCGTAGGTAATTTTTGGATTACTGGCCGATTACGACACTAAACCTACAGGGGTGGGTTTGGGTCGTGACAGCATACACCGGGGCTCGGTTCATCATTCAAACTGCATTGTAATTTAAATACTTCTTTGAATACGTGTTTCAAAGCATGCTATCAAATTGTTCCAAATCATTTCATTAGTAGCTGAGCCTACTTAGTTGCATTTTGCATGTGTTGCATTAGGCATTTTTTGTATCAATTAGGAATCATGTATATTTTTCCCAACTCTTTTTTATTCTTAGCTTGGAGTACTATGTAAGTTTTTCTTGAATTAGCATACTTGCATGAGTGTGAGTGTTGCCATGTTTGCATGCTTGCCATGAGGCTAATTGCTTATTTGATATACCTGTTTGAATGCCTGTGGATGAAGGCTTGTTGCTTGAATTGGGACAATTCAACAAATGTGAATTTTTTAAAGCCCACTTGCGAAGTGGCAAATCATGTTTTACGCTCACCGAGGTGGCAAATCCATTTTTCTAAGCCCACTTGAGAGTGGCAAATTCAAACTATTTTCAAACAAAAACAATCGTGAGTTGAATTCGTTCCAATTCTTGTGATTTAGTCTATACTTGCTCGCACGCGTCTCACGTAGTAAAGTTAGATTAATAACCGGATAAGAACACACAATGTTTATAAAACAACATATCATGCTTAGTAGAGGTCGATCATTTGATCGGGCGAGCGGGGCGCTCAATCCATGACCTTCCCCGCTCGTACTTAAGTTCCCGAGACGAGGCAACTTTGGTGATGACGGACATGTGGCCTTCGGCACGAGTCTTGGATTCCCTAAATTCCCAGAAATAAAATATTTAGGTGGCGACTCTATAATCTAACAAAGCAATCTAATTTTGACATTATTTGATTTAAAAACTGTTTTTCAAAAATGATTTGCCGAATTGGACTCTTTGGTGTTTATCAATTTCACATTGCACTTTGTGAGATTAGATTTAGAACCGTGACAGGAGTCCGAACTGTAGGGCTTATTTCGATTTCCGAAAGGAAGGCATCGAAAAAGTCGAGCTACAGTATGCTTATTCATGATTTGTTTCAGTTAGAAGTGTGACCAGATGTGCTATGGCAGAAGGGTTGGGAATAAGGTTACTCATTTGATGGCTAAGTTTGGCATTAATAAAAGTGTGTGCTGTACTTGGGAGGGTGTCCCTCCTATGTGGTTGTTGGGCTCTCTGAGGATTGAGGGTGGTGTTGTGTTTCGACTATCTATAATATCTTCGATATCGTTCTAACCAAAAAATATATATATTTTATTTATTGTTCGATTTTTTTTTCAATTTGTAAATGATAATAAAACAAAAAGAATGATGTTTATGATAACGGTGACTTTTGTGTGGCAGATTAGAGTTCTAGAGTTAGGAGGAATACGAAGAGAAAATCATTAAAATTTGAGAAAAAAGATGAAGATAGTTGAATATGAAAATTACCTACAAGTGATTTGGGTGTACAATAAGAAAAAAAAAAAAAGTTTTATTTTAAAATTTAATGTGTATTGTCCTTCTTAGTAAATTTACATTAAGGTATAATAGAAACTCAAATTTCCAAATTTTCGTTGAGTAAACTAAATTATTATTTGGGTGCAAATAGAATCACCCCTATTATGCTTATGCAACCCACAAAATATATATATTAATTAAAAACAATTCAATTGTTATATTGAAATGACAAAACTCTTTGGTTTTGAATTTTTTATTTTATTTATTTTTTTTGTGTGTGTTTGTTATATTTAGTGAATTTGTTTTATATTTTTGTTAATTTTTTTAAATGTACATAATTTAAATGCGATTAAAAAGTAAAAAAAAATGTGAAGGTATTTATAAATAAAACAAACTTAATAAATAAAAAATATGTGAAAATGTATTTTATTTATTTATTTATTGTACTTTTTAAAGATTCTATCAAGTTAGTCATTTCAATTTGAGAGAACGCCTGAGTTTAATAGGCTCATTTTTGAAGCTTGACCTCGATAATTCGAATCGTTCACTTTTTAATATTCGTTGAGGAAAATATCCATATAAAAATTAAGATAATTTGTTGGACCATTTTAATATCTTATATTTATTTATTGGTTTATCTTTTTCATAAATGGGGTTTTATTACTTTGGTAACCTCTTGGTCATAAATGGAGGTTAAATAGAATTCATGAACCTGGTTAATGGTCATTATTTTGGTGTAACCATTTTCTTGTTTAATGGTCATTATTTTTGGTATAACTGTAAGGTCCTTATAGCCTATATATATAGTCTACTCTTTTCTATCTATAGAGAACAACTATTTTCTATACAAGAGAGATTACTAGCAAAGAAGGGTGTTTTATTAGTGGAGCTTTGGGTTCACCATCTTGTGCAGAGTTGGCCTGAACCATACGACAATTTTTTTTTTAAAATTTATTTTTAGTTGAATAGATGGTATGTGAGAGAAAATTTAATTGATTGATGTATAGAATGTGAGAGAACGAAAGATAAGAGAAAAAAGAAAAAAAAATTGATTTATTAATAATAATAAAAAGGAGAGAAGTTCTAAATTTTTTAATTTTTTTTTATTCAAATCATATTTTAAAAATTAAACCGCTATCTCCGCCGCCGTCAAGGGCTCGGTCACGTTAACATCATACTGACGTTTCCGATCCCCTGACCCAAGACATCCCACCACTGTAAAGTACCAACAGTTGGATTGTATTGTAGCCAATATCTGTCTCTCTCCTCCAACTCCTCTTCTCTTTCGTTTTTCCTTCATTCAGATCAAATCCCTTTTTTTTCCATTCTCAGATCTCATCCAAATCCCCCTCCAATGGCGACCCCAACCCCACGCGAAGACAACGTCTATATGGCCAAACTCGCCAAGCAAGCAGAGCGCTACGAAGAGATGGTCGAATTCATGGAGAAAGTCTCCGCCGCCGTCTGCGATTCCGAGGAGCTGACCGTCGAGGAGCGCAACCTCCTCTCCGTCGCCTACAAGAACGTCATCGGAGC